GTGTCTGGACAAAATCTATTAAAAACAAACAAAAGATCCTGAAAACATATCCTCCCCTGACCCCACTCCAATCTCTTCTCAATAATGGAAAGGAAGCAATAGTGTAATATGGTGATAATAACAGGACAGTTCCCTGGACTCTGGGTTCCCTTTATCACAAAGGAAGTGTCCAAGTCTTTTACAGAAGAAACCCCAGCGGGGTTATTCTCTCTCTGATGCAGGTCCAGAGCCTACAGGTTTGGATGGAGATACATGCAGAACATAGAGGATGTCCCCAGCCAGGTTGCAGGTGTGGGAAGGCCTGGCCAGACTCTTGGGTTTTGCCCCTTGGACCAATCAATCCTGGAGGTCAGTTTGAAGGCGGTAACAGCCATGTAAGGGAAAATACCCTGGTAAAGCTCCTGGAGTATGATGGCTCCAAGGGGGTAGGGGGTGGGGGATCTGGGAACTGAAGGCCAACTTCTCTGCCTCTGCATTTTCCTGGGAAGAGGGCTGATGGCTATGTGAAGGGGCCTTAATTCCTAAGAGGTTAAAACTGTCTGGGTGACCTTGGTGAGTCCCGCTCCTTTACAGAAAGGTTCTCAAGGTCTCAATGGATTGCAATGGTCAGCGAGGGACTGGGCTTTGTCTCTTAGGGTCTCCAGTATCAGCAGCTGCAGTGATATTTCTGACATTCTGGCCTCAGGCCCTGAGACCCTTCCCACATGCTTAGGCAGAGCAGTTCTCCTACCCTACATTCCTGAGGGTGGCTCTCCCAACCCCCTCTGTGAGTTAATCTAGAAATGAGGTAGAGGAGAAGAGGCTTTGGCCATAAAAATCACAAGTTGAATTTTTGGAAGGGAAGTCTCAGAAGGCAATGCTTAGCACCTTCCTAATGCTCAAATTGTGAGAGTGGCCTTTGAGCTGGAGGGAGGGGTTAAATCCTGATGCTCATTTACACATCAGCTTTCTGTCTGTGCTTAGGGTTTCTCAGCTACAAAATAGGGATGATTCATGCTGTCTTCCTCAGAGCCTGTTGTGAGTCTGGAGAGTTAATACATGTGAAACGCTTAGATCTGCGACTGCTCTGGTTTTTTTTTTTTGTGTACGGGCAGGGGTGCAGCAGGGGAGATAGAGTCTCGCTCTGTTGCCTAGGCTGGAGTGAGTGAAGTGGCATGATCTCCACTCACTACAAGCTCCACCCCCTGGGCTCAAGCCATTCTCCTGCCTCAGCCTCCGGAGTGGCTGGGACTACAGGCGCCCACCACCATGCCTGGCTATTTTTTTTGTATTTTTAGTAGAGACGGGGTTTCACAGTGTTCGCCAGGATGGTCTCGATCTCCTGACCTCGTGATCCACCTGCCTTGGCTTCCCAAAGTGCTGGGATTACAGTTGTGAGCCAATGCGCCCAGCCTGACTGCTCTTATGCGGGAACTCCAGACTTCTAAAGGGATTTCTGTTTGCCCTCCTGGAAAAGCATGTGTGTGGTGTGGGTGAGGGATGGGGGTGGCCAGGTGAGGACTAGTCTGTCCAGCTCTGTGGGCCCTGAACCTTCCAGCTGTGCAGGTGCTTCTAAGGGCAGGCAGGACACTCTCTGAGAGGCCCATAGACCTGCCTAAACCCCAGCAAAGGCTGAGACTTTGTGGAAGGTTGCCTTATGGAGAGTTAAAGCATTGCTGGGGGTTGAGGCATACCTGAAGGCCAGGAAGGGACATGGCCTTGGAAGGAAGACTCAGTCTGTTTTGACACTCAGCCATGACCTGGCCATCTGAGTCAAGACCACTGGTCATTCTACAAGAGGCCTTTTAAAGAACTGTTAAATTAAATGAGATTGTTAGATTAAATGAGAAATGGGTGTCAATGTTCTTTGTAATAAAAGTGAACTTCAGGACAATAATGATGAAGAAGAATCCATAGCATCTCTGCTAGGGTTGGGGAGGGAGATGTCTGAGCCTTTGGGTGCTTGGGTGTTGCAGAATTGCTCTTGGACACAAACAAACTGCATTGGGCCCTTCCAGTCAGTGGCTGAGGTGGAGGCAAGCCTTGAGCTTGGGGAGGTCCTCAGCTGCCAGTCTCACCCTGGGTCCTCCAACCCCAGGATGGGCCAGTGGTGGGCATGGGGATGTGGACCAGACATCCTTAGCACAGGGCCAGGAAGCTACCACGCTGGCCTCAAGGAGCCCAGGCAGACAGGTGTACGGGCAGGGGTGCAGCAGGGCCAGCTGCCTCCCAGGACCTGAGAGGCATCTAGCTTCCTGTCCCAGGCACCTGGCCCTCAGTTCTAGGAAGGTGGAGGAGGGGGTACTCTTCGAAATCAGAGTTCCAGAAGCCGCAAGTTCCCCCTGTCTGAAGGAGAAACTGTTCCATGGTGTCTGCCACAGTTGCACAGCTACCACCGACTTTCTCAGCAGATTCCACTGCAGTGCAAGGAGGTGAGGGGAGTGGTCAACCCTGATCGACCTGCAAGTGTGAGATCCACTCGACCTTATTCCCCAGGGGTGCACCCACCAGGGGCACTAGGTTCCCAGAGGGACATCAGCAGCTGTCACGGCAGAAGGGGGAACTGGGTCCCAGAATGACCCACCTCCGGCTGTCCCCACCGCGAGGACCCAGCAGTCCGAGAACTTCGACGGCTGGCGCCCCCACCACTGGCTGGAAGATGACAGAGGGCCCAAGACTAATATTCACGACAGCCAGACCACGCTTATTGTTTAGGAGGAAGCTCCCTTTGTTCTTACTTTTTAACCAAAGAGAAGCGAAAACATTTTTTTTCCTGATCGCGTTTTCACCGACACCTGAGCGGACAAGCCAGCTCCTGGCCCCGGGCGCAGGACTCCTCGCTCTCTCCCTTCTCCGGGCCCTGTGGCTGTTGAAAGGCCCGTTGCAGGCTGGGGAGGGCGACTGGGGCCATGGGCCGTCTCCCCCGAGCCAGGCGGGCAGACTGCGGAGGCAGGCCCCACAGGCGCCGCTTTCCTGAGCCCGGTTTTCTTGAGGAGCAAAGCTGTTCCAGCTGACCAGCGCGTCTGGGGGCCTAGACCCGGCTTCCGATTCCATTTAAAACGACCCGCGCACCTTATCTCCGTCGCCTCCCCGGGGTTCCCACCCACCCCCATCCCCACCCCCACCCCGGCCCAGGCCAGGCCAGCCCAGCCCCTGCGGAAGCCAAGCTGGGAGCTTTTGAAGTCCCGAGAATTTCAATCCGAGAGGAGCCGGCTGGATCGGAGCCCGTCGCCCGGGCGGGGAAGGGACTGGGGGCCTGCCGTGTGGCAGGTGGGGGATGGGTGTCCCCCGCCGCGGGAAATGAGAAGGCGCCGGGCCTGGAGCGGCCTCCACCTCAGCTGCTATCACCCCCTCTCCGCTGTTACGGGATTGCCCAGGCTTAATGGGGTTGTGCAAGGCTTCACTTGCTCTCGGAATTTACCTTCCTTCTCGAACCGTGCCGCGAATAACCTTCACGATACAATGATAATGACGTTATTAAATACTCCCCCCACATTCACCACCCAAAAAAACAAAACAGTGCTCTTATCCAGTCCTCTTTTTTTTGTCTTCTTTCCTTTAAAAACCCAACCACTCTTAATGTGACGTTGATGAAAGGATGCTTTTGGAAGAAGTGACATTTGGTTAAAACGTTTTCCCCCTAATGCGCCGGCGGAAAGGGGCGGGAGTGGGGGTGGTTCCCTAGGCTCCTAAGACTGGCGAAACAGTCAGCTTTGAAAGGGCGGGGCAGAAGTCGAGAGAGGGCTGGGGAAGGGTTTGGACTGAGGGGATGTGTCCCTGAAGCTTCAGATCTGGAGCCCAAGGGAGGCAACCTCCCTCTGAAAAGCCTGTCCTCAGCTCCATCCAGCCCTCTCCCCGGGATATAAAAGCCCTGCTCTGTTGGGCCCGACCCAGGAACGAGACTAAGTAGCGCTCCTTGATCTCTCCTACTCGGCTTTCATCTCACCCCGAGGAAAAGAGGATCAAACAGAGGATTCTCATTGAATGCAGAGCTGGGGGTGGGGTGGGGAGCCAGGAGTCCCTCTGAGGACCCAGCCCCCAGGAGATGGGGGCAGCAGGCTACCCATGAGAAAGCGAAGTGCTCAAGGAGGAAAGGAGGGTGGGCACCACCACCAAGGCCCAGTGCTGGAGGACCCTATAGAGAGTAGGCACCCTTGGCAGCTCTAAGACAGATGCCCAGGGGGCTTGCCGTTGACAGCAAAGAGAGCAAGCCAGGTGCTCCCTCAGACTGTGGCTGCTCGTAGGGAGGACACAGCATGATAGAATCCCTGGACAGCTCTCCAAGGCAGCAAAAGGTTCCAGGATTTGACTCCCCCACTGTCAATTGCTCCTCTCACATCTAAAACATTTCCCTGGATTTTGGAGTTAGCAGTGCTCAGCACACAGTGGCTTCAGGAGTCCCAAGGAGTGGAGATATCTATGTGGATACCACCTTCTGGATCCCGCTGCCTCTGCCCCCAGGCAAGATTAATGAGCATCTTCTTAGACTGAAGGAGAAGTGGAAAGCCAGAATGGAGAGAAAACTGTCTTTCTTTGGACCCCTTACTTCCTCTACCTTCCTTAACCCTATGGATAGGAAGATGGATGAGAGAAGCAAAGAGAGAAGAATACAGAAGGAGAAACAGGAGGAGAGAAAAGTAGGAGATAACAGACAAAAAGGTCATGGAAGAGGACTTACCTGTAAAAGCTGGGGCTTTGCTAGGTACATGGAAAGAAGGGAGGTGCTGGGCTGCCCTTTGCAGCTGGCTGCCTAGGGCTGGAAGCTCTTGGGGAGGAGGTGGAGAAAGGGAGATTGAGCATAGAAGGTGCCCACCTCCTGCCCTCAGCAATGTGGGGATAGACTCAGCCCACCCACCTGGCCCCAGCACACTTGCTTGGAGCTCAAAAAGTGTCAATTTGTAGGAGTTCTATTCAAGCTTCTTCCCTGGGAGAGGAGCCAATAGAGGCCTATGGCCGCCCCCAAATATCAAGTTCCACAACCCCTGCCCCCACCTCCTGCCCTTCATCAGAGCCCCTACTTACTTGCTGTTTTAGGGCATTTTCAGCGACTTCACTCCCTTCTACCTCAAACGCCATCCACTTTTGGAGACAGGGACCACTGCCCCCGGGCAGGGACTTGGGAGAGGACCTTATGAGTCAAACTTCTATGAACCCCAACCTTTTTGTGCTCCGGGAGGCTGAACCCCTGCCCAAAATACTGCAGTGAAAGCTACTGCCTTCTCCCAGCTAGGGGCCTCCAGTACTGCCACAGCAGGGGCCGCATTTCCTGGGGCCTCTCAATTCGGAAAACCTCTTTCCAGGAGAATTCGTTGATTCTGAACGAATACCTTAAAATATGGGCTAGGAAAAAAAAAAGACAACTCTTAGAACCTCTCCCCACCGAACATACCTGGAGTGCAGGTGAGGCCCAGGCAAACGAGAAAGCGACTTCCTCTACGAATAGCCGTCTCAAGATGAAGCCAGGCTGTGGAAAACTTTAAGGCCATCTAGATGGGAAGGAGGTATTTAAAAGAAATCAGCACACACTCTTACAGCAGCCAAGGCGGGTCTTTAAATTTTTTAAAAAAGTAAGGTATTTATTTCTTGTCCCTTGGGGAAGAAAAATAGCAAAGTTTGGTTCCCAGGAGTAAGGGGACAGAGGTGGGTAGGGAGAGGGAGGAGAAGAGAGGAAAAGATGGCCCAGCCTCAAGCTCTCCAGTCAACTTGGGGCGGAGGGGATACATTTTTCCGTAGCTTGTAAAAAGACTTTTCAGCCAGTTTGAGGTTAGCTGCCAGGGGCAGACAGTTGTAATAATGCCGACAGAATTGAGGCTTGTAAGCTGGGCTTCACACTTCTAAAATGCAGTTATGGATTCTTTCATCGGTGTTAGATCAAGGCACCAAGTTAAGAAAACAAAAATCAAAACAACAATAAAAGAAGAAAATCAAAAGCGTATTTAATTACCGAGTCCCGCTGCCCCTGCGGAACTCGCCGCTCGCGTTAAGCTCTCTTTTCTTTCTGCGGAATTCCATTTGCATCCCCTCTGCCTGGGTGTCTCCCTCTCTCAGTGTGTGTGTCTCTCTGTCTGTTTTCACACTCTCCTCCCCATTCGAGCGAGGCCCACACCTGGCGCATCACTGCCGAGCCATTAGCTGCGGGTCTCCTTTCATCTTCGCTGTGGCAGACGTTTCTATTTATCCACTTGCGCTCGCCGAGTGGCGTCACCAGCGGTACTGTAATGACGATTGCAGCAGGAGGATGACAGCTTAGAAAGAAGAGGGCAATGGGGCTTCCTCCCAGAGGCGGTGCGGCACAGAGGAGCGCTCGCATCACAAGGTGACCCTAGCTCCCCACCGCCACCGCCGCGGTCGCGGTACGGACCTCGCTCCAGCCGCTCTGCACGGTCCCAGTAACCCGGCCTCTCTTTCTCCCTCTTGCAACCAAGATCCGTCCGGCCGCTGGAGACCCAGGGAGCCGGGGTTAGGAATTCACTTGGGGCTTTCCCCTCCCCTACCGGAGAGCCCCGGGATGGAGAGCCGAAAGGACATGGTTGTGTTTCTGGATGGGGGTCAGCTTGGCACTCTGGTTGGCAAGAGGGTCTCCAATTTGTCCGAAGCCGTGGGCAGCCCGCTGCCGGAGCCGCCCGAGAAGATGGTGCCCCGTGGTTGCCTGAGCCCTCGGGCCGTCCCTCCGGCCACCCAGGAGCGCGGCGGGGGAGGCCCGGAGGAGGAGCCGGTAGATGGACTCGCAGGCAGCGCGGCGGGGCCGGGCGCCGAGCCCCGGGTAGCCGGGGCCGCCATGCTTGGCCCGGGACCCCCGGCCTCCTCCGTCGACAGCCTCTCCGGCCAGGGGCAACCCAGTAGCTCGGACACCGAGTCGGATTTCTATGAAGAAATCGAGGTGAGCTGCACCCCGGACTGCGCCACCGGGAACGCCGAGTACCAGCACAGCAAAGGTAGCCACCGCGCCCCTCCGCTCCTCGGGCCTCCCATTGCGCCCACCCTTCACTTCGGCGCAGGCCAGGAGGAAGACACTCCCTTCCCCTAGGGCAGGATGGCTGGGGGGACCCACCTGAGCAACTCTCCCTGCTATCTGCGTTCTGGCGGGGGTCTCCTACTGTGTTCTGGCATTGGCTGACTAAGGGTGACAGCAGTGCCTTGAGTGCGGGGTGGAGTGGGCGCGGATGCAAGTCCTTGACTTGGGGGAGTCAAAGCTCACCCCAAGCCCCCAGTGTTTCAACTGCTCGGGGAATGCTTCAACTGCTAGGGGAAGACACTTTCCCCAGGCGAGGGCAAGATCAAACGCCGGTCCGGGCAGTTTGTGGCTGGCGGGGTGTAAGAGGCATGGAGGCGCGGAAGCCAGGAGTCCATAAAGGACCGTAAAATTGCGGCCCACTTGGGCAGCCCGGGTGCTGCAGCCCTCCAACCAGTTTGCACGTCGGTCAGAGGTCCAAATTACCTTGTCACTTCCCGGGCTTGGCGGCGCCAGGTCGGAAATGGTCCCAATGGTCTAATTGCCTTTGGTCTCCGGTTGCATTTGAAAAGGCAGAGATCGGGTCCTCCCCCCTTCCCCTTTCCTTCCTAGTCCCACTTCTCCACCCAAAGGAAAAGGAGCTGCAGGGGGCTGGAGCCCCACCCTTCTCAGAGGTAGGCCCAAACGGGGGCTGGTTTAACTGGAGAACGCCTCCCCACCAAAGGCTAATGGGAAGGGGGTGGATAGCTCCGAAGGGAGTTTCCCTCTGTGCCAACAATCCACCTCCCCAGAAGGGGGTGGAAAACTGGGGGTGGGGGCGGAGAGGGGAGCCCACCAGCAGACACTCCTCCATAGAACTGCAGGAGTGGGTGGAAAGAGCCTGGGAGGGAAGAAAGACCACCCCCTGGCCTTGGCAGCCAACACCTTGTTGAATACCAGCGCCTACCCCTTACTGTCTTATCACCAGTTTCACCCAGCCTCCTTCCCACAACCTGCCCTCAGAACAACCTGCACTTCACTCACATATACTAAGGTAATAAATAAGGTACTCAACATGCATTCTTACTCCAGCCCTGCAATACATGGAACCTAGTACACATTCCCACACCTGTTCTGGCAGCCTGGCACACATAAGAGCAAGGAAACTCTCTGATTGCTCAGCATACTACAATGCACTTGACCCAGAGTTTACAACGCTCTAGCACAAAGGTGCATCTCAACTCATGTGCCTGTCAGAAGTGCACACCCTTGCCCACCCCTGCCAACGGGAGGCAGAAAGCTCATCTATGCCCCAGGGCAGGTGGAAAGGTCGACTGGGAACCCCTGTATCCAGAATGCCTTAGAGGAAGGGAAGGCCTCCCCAAAGACGTCTACCTACCCAATCAAGGGCAGGCCCTTATCTTCCCTTCTTGGGTTCCCCAGAGGCCGCAGTACCCTAGCAGAAACAGTTATTGGAGTGGCTGACAGGGTGTCCCTTCCCAAATCACCCTCCCACCTTAGGCTACAGCCCCACTTCAATGGTGTTTGTGTGTCTGTGTCTGTACACGCCTGTGCTTTGGACTCGCTGTGCAGGGTCCGGCTCCGAGGCGCTGGTCGGCAGTCCGAACGGAGGGAGCGAGACCTCCAAGAGCAACGGCGGCAGTGGCGGGGGCGGCTCGCAAGGCACCCTGGCGTGCAGCGCCAGTGACCAGATGCGTCGTTACCGCACCGCCTTCACCCGAGAGCAGATTGCGCGGCTGGAGAAGGAATTCTACCGGGAGAACTACGTATCCAGGCCGCGGAGATGCGAGCTGGCGGCCGCCCTAAACCTGCCGGAAACCACCATCAAGGTATGCGGGGTCCAGGCTGGGGAGGCGCATGTGCACCTACTTAGCGGAAAGTAAATACCAACTGCCCACTCCCTAAACCGCAGGCCAGGAATCTGGGCCTGGGGTCTCCTTGCCCAGCGCGTGCAGATTGACCCTCGTGACGGCTCCTAGGCAGGCATTGCTGCCATGTGGTTGACTCTGTCTCTTTCCTGGTTAAATAGACAGGGGGTGGGAGTGGGGGGAGGGGATAAAATGCCTGTGCGGGTGACAAGGTAGTTTCTGGGGACACGCTGTCTGCGGCCGCAGACCAATTGAGTCCACGTCCTCTCACTGCTCCTCCCGTACACACACCGGCCTCTGGCACCCCGGGGCCTGGCCACCTGGGCAGAGGGAAGGAGGGAGCGGGCTGGAGTCACTCCCCAAACCTCTCTGGAGGGATTCCAGCTCCAGGTGGTGGTGGTGGGGTCCGTCTCTACCCAGCTGGTGTCTGCTTTGACTCTTCCTGCCCTATGAACACTGTCCCGGGAGCGGGACCAGACTTCTGGCCTCTGACTATCGGGCCCGAGTCCACCTGCCGAACCTGCTCCGCTCCTCTCCCCAGGTATGGTTCCAGAACCGGCGCATGAAGGACAAGCGGCAGCGCCTGGCCATGACGTGGCCGCACCCGGCGGACCCCGCCTTCTACACTTACATGATGAGCCATGCGGCGGCCGCGGGCGGCCTGCCCTACCCCTTCCCGTCTCACCTGCCCCTGCCCTACTACTCGCCTGTGGGCCTGGGCGCCGCATCTGCTGCCTCCGCCGCCGCCGCCTCGCCCTTCAGTGGCCCGCTGCGCCCGCTCGACACGTTCCGCGTGCTGTCGCAGCCCTACCCGCGGCCCGAACTGCTGTGCGCCTTCCGTCACCCGCCGCTCTATCCCGGGCCCGCGCACGGACTGGGCGCCTCGGCCGGCGGCCCTTGCTCCTGCCTCGCCTGTCACAGCGGCCCGGCCAACGGGCTGGCACCCCGGGCTGCCGCCGCCTCGGACTTCACCTGTGCCTCCACCTCCCGCTCCGACTCCTTCCTCACCTTCGCGCCCTCGGTACTCAGCAAGGCCTCCTCCGTCGCGCTGGACCAGAGGGAGGAGGTCCCCCTCACTAGATAAGGGGCCGCCGGCCGGCTGCCGGCACCAGGACGCCCGTGGGGTCACCCCCCACCCCCGGGACTCAGCCTCTCGCTCCTCGCCCCTAGGACGCCAAGCGGGAAAGGAGAGGGCGGAAAAGGACCAGCGGGATCCGGCCGCGAGAATTGGAAAGCCTAGGAAGTGGCCGTGGCTGGCGCGTTTGGGGAGCAGGAGTGGGGATAGGGAAGCAGAGGTTGAGAGACCTTCCTCCGGGGCGGCCTCCGGACCCACCGCCCCCTACCAGGGTCGAGGCTGTAGCTCCAAAGCTAAACAAAACTTAGCAGCAACAGCAATCAATATCCGGCCCCTCGGCCCATCACCCTCCATCTCACACTCCCTTCTCACCGCGCCCCCTCTCCCCAGCCAAGGCCCAAGCACTGGAAAGGGAAATTGCTGTCTGTCTGAACAAAATGCTGTGTATGCAGAGCAGGTAGAGATTAATCTTTGCCAATCTTTCCAAGGCATGACAAGGGGCTGGTGGATGGCAACATACCAGTCATTTGGAGGAGAGAGTGAGAGATTGTTTACTACCGGGGAGAATCCGGCCCCTTGGCATGGAACCTGGAGTCTCGACTACACAGCATCTTCTGGATCTGGCGTCTGCCAGCACCAGATCTCCTTCCTCATTCCCAGCTTTGTGACACCTCTCAACTTGCAGCTCCATCTCTCCCTGCCCCCACTTTTTTGTTGGCCAGGGAGGCTGCAGATGCCCCAGGAGCCCTTTGCCGCTTCTATGAGCCCAAGCCTTTTTTTCCCTGGGCCGAGCACACACCCTGATTAGCAAGTGATGTGTGCGAGGAGGGTTTGTGAATGTTGAATGTGTAATAATGATCAACACAGAGCTGGCCACTGAGCCCAGAGCTGGAGCTGTTAACAAGGCGCCCAGGGAAGAGCTTAGGGAGTGAGAACTTCACCTCCCTCTCTCAGTATCTGGCGGTAAATTAGAGGCAATTTTCATCCTTTGCTTGTTCACCTTCACTTCACCAGGAGCTTTCTGGCCCTACCCTTTGCATTGGGCATTTTACAACTTTTTCTCATTTTCTTCCCAAGCTACCACTGGAGCTTGACTTTCAGATACCAGTGGGAGCCTTCTGCCGCTTCTGGGGACCCTGTCTGTACCCTCCACCAGGGTTTGTTTAGAGCCACTCCCAAATCCTCACTCCCACACTCATCCTTGCAGCCAGTTTTTGAGGAAGAAGAGAACGTGTACACCCAATGCAAGCTTCACCCTGACTGAGAGGGAGTGGTTCTTCCTGTAGGGAATGAATTTGGTTTGGGTTGGGGTTTTCCTTTGAAGCCCAAAGAACTTGCTGTTATGATTCGTTAACCATATTGCAATAAAAGCTGGACATAATTCTCACTTTAGCATTTTAGTTTTTGTGGCAGCAGGCAGCTCTTAATTGACTTTTAAAATTGCTAGTTCAGCCACCATGGGTTTGAGTAGGAAAGGAACCAAAAGATGGACCCAGAGTCTAAGCCTCTGTCATTGGTAGGCTCCAAATAGCCATTGCATGGAGGTGGAGAAGGCAGGCTCCAAGCTGCCCTAGGGTGCATGTTTTCTTAATTTTGGGTATGTTGGGAGCCTTTCCTGGGTAAAGTGGCAGCTGAATGCTGCCAGGGGCCCACCCCTGTGGTTTCTTCTCCAGTTGTTCCAATCCTTTGAGCGACTGAAAGGGGACCCAGGTTGTGGTCTCTGAGCAACCTGCCTCCACCCCAGCCCGAAGGGAGGTGAGTGGGGCAGTGGCAGTGGAGCCTGAGTACTGCAGAGAGCTGAGTTTTCTGGTCAAGCTGGGTCCACACTTGAGGGTAGAGGACAGCAGGGAGGAAGGCTTCTTGGTTGGGATCATCTTGGTCTGAATTGTCCTCAGACTGGAAGTCATCTTGAGGGTGGGATTCTGAGGGATTAGGACAAGAGGAAAGGCAGTGCTCAGAAGCTACCTTCCAGCCCCCACCTGCACGCCCCACAGGAGAGCCAAATGTGGCTGGGTATGAAGTTCCACTCAAACAGGGGAGAGATGGGACCCTTCTGGGAGTCCAGGAGGCTCTGGATTGCACAGACACGAGGGATCCTCTGCCACTGTATCTGCCAGCAGATAGAGACTCCTCAAAGGCCCTCCTCCCTCCTTGGGTTCCACAGCAAATCCTCCTGCACACAGTAGCTGGTGCCCTCCCAAGCAAATCGTGCCCTGAGGTTTCCAGCACCCCCTGCCCTGCAGCCAAAAGCTCCCGAGTGCCAAATCCCAGTAAATTTTGTGGTTGCTCCACGTTGGGCAGAGATTGCTTGCGACAGGTAAATGGGCTGCGGGTTGCCTTAATGCCAGGCGTATTTTCAGTTAATAGGGAGGGAAAATGAGGTGTCTGCAGCGATATTGGAAAGTACAAGATCGATGATCCGGCTTCGTGTCCAATCAGCAGCCTTTAATTGACTGTATTTTCTGGGTAATTGAGCCTCTCTTCCTCCAAATTGAAGTGGAAGATATAACAATACATCTTGCCAGGAGGAATTACTCATTACTTCATAATGAAATTTCCCTTTTGCCAAGGTTTGCGGTTTGGCACTAGGCAAACCTTCTCACTCCCCCTCCTCCCTCCAACATTCTTAGCCCACTTGCATCAGGCAACCCCATCTGGCATGACACGTTCCATTTGAGTGGTGGCAGGGAGGAAGTGGGAGTTGACTTGAAGAAGGTACTGCCCCTTCACAATCACAACCTCCTTATCTGTAAAACAGAAGGCTAGACCAGGACCTACCATGATGCTGTTTTCATTTTTCAACTTTCTCAATGTCTCTACTTGGCTTTGCCTCATCTCAGTTCCATTTTGCAGGTGGGAAAATAGAAGCTCCAGGTCTACACAGCTATTAGTGGCCAATGTAGCTATGAGGTCCTGGCTCCCACTTCCTCTTCTGTTTTGGGGCACAGATTCTGACGTAACCCCCAGTGAAACCTGACACCTCACTCCCGACTCACGCTTTCCCAGGGCTCTTCAATTCTGGCTGGCCGGCAGGGCCTGGGAGCGTGGTCCAGCACCCAGCCCAGATTCGTCCAGCTGGGCAAGGCTGGCCACCCCGCAGCCCGAGTGCGCACCGGCCCCTGGCAATTGCTGGCTTGTTAGTGTGTGATTGATTGCCTTATTAAAGCGTGTTCTTGTAAGTGTGACCAAACTGATTGCATTGCATATGTTTGGGATAATGCTCATTTTAAACAACAGGATAAAGAGGATGAGCTCCGCAGAGCCTTGAAGACAAAATGATTCTGGCCAGCAGCTCCCTAACTCTGGCATTAAATTGCTCAGTTACATAGCAAATCACTACTTGATTTCTGCATCCTTGTCCCTATTTTTTTTTGTCCTTCAGTTTGATCCTGTCGTCCAATGTGGCATGCACCCTGAATGGTTTCTTTAGTGATTATGTCCACTCCACCTTCCTAGTTTCAAACCCTGCACCCGCACTCTCCAGACATGCAGTCCCTCTCCCTCGACTAGGAATTGAAGGAGAAGAGATTCGGAATGCACCTATTTGCCCTAGGCCTTCCGGGGGGACATGGTATTAGACAGTCACCTCCAAATGGGGCTCAGGTCCTCACAGTAAGTTGAGTGTCCCCCTACATCCCCAACCCCAGCCCTTTCACTAAAGTTTAAAAGATTCTTTTGTTCCTCAGGCTTCTCCCGCTTGGTTGCTTCCATTATTCTCCAACTGAGGAAACACCAGCCGCCATATGTCCACCGGAGAATCAACGTGAGTGTTGCGGTGGACCGTCGCCGCCAAAGGTGTCCAGACGGATGGCATTCTCAAAGTAGGGATCTTAGCATCCTCTCCATACACCATCACCCCAGATAGGTAGAGGAAAGAGTAGGAGTACGGGTACAGATAGGAGAGAAAGGAGGTTGAGGCCACAAAATTGGCATTTCTCTAATTACCAACCCCCTCCTCCACCATCCTGCCACCATTTGTTATGGCAAAGTTCTCTTTCTGTGCCCCTTCCCTAACAAAGAAATCCTCAGTCAGCCTCCACCTACTCCTTTTGATTTGCAGGAAGTCAAACTGCTCGCAGATTGAGCTTCCTAAGGGACACCTTTGGGATATGTTGGAATTCTGATTTGTTCAAGATGATGACAGTCATCAGTACAAATCAGAAACAATGCCACTCTTCAGGGTGTCATTTGTAAGTGCAATCACATGGATTCGTTTGCAAAACCCAGCTAAACTGCGTCTGGATAAGTGACTAGATCCAAACGACAAATTTCTTCCATCACTCAGCTCCTCCCAAGCTCTGCGGGGGCAGCACAGAAGACTGCTTTAGGGTGAAACTAAGGCTCAGCTCACCATTTGTGCCAGTTTGAGGGACCCTGGAAATGTTGACTCTGAGAAAGAGACAAAACAAAACAAAACCCAATCACAAAACACATCCTACTGTCTACAAAGCAAACAGAAACACAAAGTCGTTTCCAAAATCACCTTCTCAGCAAATAAGTGTGTGATATTCTGAGCAGGAGCAGGAGAGGGAGAAAGATTGCCACTTAAAAAAACATGAAAGCATTAAGTAATTATTTAAAACAAGGCTGTTTAGAAAAATATTTGTATTTATTGCAGCTGCTCAATTGGCCTCGTTAAAGTCGGCAAGCATTTAAATTGTGTTACAATCTCATTTAAATCCCACTCCGTTCCAGCAGGCTGAAGAGCTTGAGTAGACCAATCACTTCATAATGATGATGAATGAGAAATTAATTCAGATACAAGCAAGACAATTTAGGCCTTCATCTGTTTAAATAGCCTTCCAATATTATTCGCCATCGCGGGTCACAGATTGAATCAATTGTCCAATCTTGTGAAAGTCATATCCTTGCATCTTCATCGAGATTATTTATAGCGCAGTGAGCGCTGCTGAAAGGTGTACGCTGTTAACAGGGACAATTACTTAAAGGGAAGCGTTTATAAAATGGAAAACAAATGCCGGGTTTGGTAACAAATGGGATCAAAAGCAGCCATTCCAATCTGTCTTCCCGAGGGAAAGGAGCGGGCGCGGCCCTGTAGGATTAGGGGCACTTCTGGCCTCCCCAAGGCCCAGGTGCGGCGCGCCAGCCTGCGCGGTGGCTGTGGCTGCGGTGGCGACTCGGGCCGGGCCTCGCTCTCGCCGGCTTCAGGTTCCCGCCTCCTCGGCGCAGGCAGCGGCCGCGTGTGGCCCGGGCTGGGCAAGCTGAGGAACAGCGACCCCCGGACGCTGACCGCATGGACGTCCCAGTTTGTGCCCGGGTCTCCGTCCCTCCCCGTAAGGGGCTTGGGCCCTCGGGCCTGGGTCTGACCCACAGGGCGCTGAGGCCTTTGCAGCTGAAGTCGGGAGGCCTCGTTGCGCGCGCAGCACAGGTTGCTGGTAAATTCTGGACTCTGGAGCCTCGGCCTTCCTTCTAAGCCGATGGCAGGGAAAGAACCCCGTTTCCACAGCTCCCCCGACCCCCGCCGCTTGCCATTTGGGGACGGGAAGCGCGCCCCGGTCGCTTCAGGTCCCTCTGGGCCGGAGCCCCTTCCATGGCCGGCTCGTCTGGGGGCCTTTGGGCCTGTGAGCAGCAGCGTCTAGTTGCCCCAGAGAAGAACCCTTTCCTTTCTCCATCGAAGCGTCCCTTTCTGTATCCTGAAATAACCCCTCCTGGGTGAGGCCAGTTCCCCTCCGTCGCCCTCCTACTGCAGGCGTCCGGGAACCTCGTGAGGACCCCGTGCAGTTGAGTCCAGGCGACAGGTGCCTCCCCAGGTGTCTACTTGGCCTCCC